TCCGCAAGAATCTAGCAGTAGCCGAAGGAAAGTCCCTTCAGGTATCCGTCTACCAGGATGCTATCTGCATCCTCCTTAAGTTTCTTTTCCCTTGCAGCAGCAGAGCAGAAGTGGCAACGAACAAGCAAGACACAAAATAACACACGCACACACACCCTTAAAGAAAACCCCTAACAAGTCAGCAGGTCCACTGGACAGAACAAGCCACATCACCCAATATGTAATTTATAGTTTCAGCCTTGGAATTCCTACCCACCATTCATCCTTGAACTACATCCTTGACTTACAACACTGCAACTGTCATAAATATGAGCCAGCGGCAGAACATCTGCATTTCGATCATGTGACCATGGGGATGCTGTAACGGACGTAGGTGTGAAAAATAGTTTTTTAACTCACTTTTTTTTCAGTGCCATTATAACGTTGAACGGTCACTAAACGAATTGTTGTAAGTCAAGGTCTACCTGTATATCCTTGGCTTCAGAACCCAACAGAATCCATCAAGCTCTCATGTTTCCTTAACTTTAAGGAGAAATTTCCTGACAGAACAATTAACCAGTGGAACAACCTGCCTCCAGAAGCGGTGAATGCTCCAACACTGGAAGTTTTTAAGAAGAGACTGGACAGCCATTTGTCCGAAATGGTATAGGGTTTCCTGCCTGAGCAGGGGGTTGGACTAGATGACCTCCAAGGTCCCTTCCAACTTCTTGATGATGATGATGATGATGATGATGATGATGATGATGATGATGATGTCTGTTGCAGCCTTCCTCAATCTGGACCCTCCTCAAGAGTCAAAACTTTGCCTCCTAAAGGTTTCTCATGCCATATGGGGATTATGGGAGACGGTGTTGAGCGCACCAGTGCCAACATATGTTGAGCAGAATAACAGAGTTGAAAGGGACCTTGGAGATCTTCTAGTCCAACCCCCTTCTCATTAAGTGAATGATGCAGCATGAGCAGCAAGGAACACCTGGCAAGATGTTATCCTTTTTTTTTTTTTTTACAGAAGTCTAGGTATGTAAACATCTCCACAAGAACTGGGCCTAATTTTTAAAAGCCAATTTGGAAGCCTTATTTATTTACTTTTGCTGTCAGTGTACAGGAAGTCCTCGGCTTACGACCACAACTGAGCCCAAAATTTTTATTGCTAAGTGCAATTATGCCTCATTATTGTTAAGTGAATTATGCCTCATTTTACGACCTTTCTTGACACAGTTGTCAAGGACCACTGCTGTTGTTAAGACAATTGCTGCACTTGTCAAGTTAGTAACACGGTTGTTAAATGAATCTGGCCTCCCCATTGCCTTTGCTTGTCAGAAGGTCGCAAAAAGAGACCCCGGGACGCTGCAACTGTCATAAATGTGAGTCAATTGCCAAGCGTCTGAATTTTGATCCTATGATCTATGATACAATAGTCATAAGTGTGAAAACTGGTCATAAGTCACTTTTTTCATTGCCGTTGTAACTTTAAACGGTCACTAAAGGAACTGTTGTAAAGTTGAGGACTACTTACATATGTTTCCACAAAAATAAGATTGGGTCTTATTTTATTTATTTTTGCCTCCAAAAGAGGTACTGGGTCTTATTTTCAGGGGGTATCTTACTGCCCTCCGGCACCGACAACCCTACCCAGCCAGCCCACTTCTTCTTGGGCTAATGGAGCATCCTCATGCCGCAGCTGCATTCCAGCCTGCGTTTTGCAATCAAGCCTTTCCGAAAGGCCTCTGCAGACGAGTACCGAGCGATGGATTCAATCCATCGCTCGGTCCTCAGCTGCAGACCTCTTGCAGAACCGAGCTATGGATTGAATCCATAGCTCCATTCTCGGCTGCAGTGGCCTTCTTGGAAAGGCCTCTGACTGCGAAATGCAGGCCTGGCTGCAGAAGAGGCCTCAGAAGAAGTGGGCCGGCGAGGAGAGGCCTGGCTGCAAGCTGAGTGGGTGCGGGGTGAGTGGGGCAGATCCACCCCCTCCACCCCTGCCCTAGCTTGATTTTTAAGTGTGTGCCTCGCCCCCAAACCTATTTTTGAGGTAGGGCTTATATTAGGCCCACACCCAAAAATCAAGCTAGGGGTTTTTTCGGGGTAGGCCTTACTTTTGGGGAAACAGTATATTGAGATTGTTTTACAAGGACTGGGAAGCTGGCCTGCTAAGATTGTACTCACCACTAGAGGTCAGGATACTCCTGTTTATGGTGGAATGCTCCAATTAATTTTATCCATCGGAAAGAGGTACAGGTTGTTCTCCACTTATGACCACACTTGAGCCCAAAGCTTCTGTTGCTAAGCAAGACAGTTGTTAAGTGAGTTTTGCCCCATTTTACGACCTTTCTTGTCACAGTTGTTAGGCCACAAAGTCACTTATGACCCTGCAGCCATCATAAATATGAGCCAGTTGCCTGCAGCCAATCGTAAATATGAGCCAGTTGTTGTGTGAATTTTGATCACACAACAACATGGATGCTGCAGCGGTCTTAAGTGTGAAAAATAGCCAGAAGTCACTTTTTTCAGTGCCGTTGTAACTTCAAACAGTCACTAAAATGAACTATTGTAAGTCGAGGACTACCTGTAAGCTACTTTTTGATCATAATTTTGATCATGTGACCCTGGGGATGCTGCAACAGTCACTAAGTGTGAAAAACAGTCACTTCAGTGCTGCCAGCCTTGCTCATTGAGGCATTCTGGGAGTTGAAGTCCATAAGTCACGAAATAGCCAAGTTTGGAGAACCTCTAACTAGGAGAACAAAATTAGGATTGAAGAAAATGTTACAACTTTAGATTGGTCTGGGAGAGAAAAAAAAGCCTTGCTTGCTTCTAAATATCTTGAGGCCACCATAGAAGACCTCAGCTGTATTTGGTGGAGAATTCCAGATCATTTTTATTTCCCTAACCCATGGGTTGGCAACCTTGGCTCTTTTATGACTCGTGGACTTCAACTCCCAGAATTCCTGAGCCAGCCAAGCTGAGGGGAAAGCTTAAATTCAGCGGGTCGAAGATAGCTGTGTAATTCCAGAAAAGATTATACTCAATTTATATGCCCAACCGAGCATTCAAAATGCTATTCAAATGTTTCATGGCATGGGACAGAGAGGACTAGTAGAGAGGTACTGAATTTTGCTCCCTGTTGCTGCTTTCAAACCACCTTCCTCAATGTCCGAAAGGTGCTTTTTCACGAGGCAACTTGTGAACTTTTTGGGGGTTTTTTGAAGACGTGTCGCTTCTCATCCAAGAAGCTTCTTCAGCTCTGACTGGATGGTGGGGAATGGAAGGATTTATATCCCTTGCAGACAGCTGGTCATTTGCCTTCTTTTAGAGCAGGGGTCTTCAAACCTGGCCCTTTTATGACTCGTGGACTTCAACTCCCAGCATTCCTGAGCCAGCCATGCTGAGGGGAAAGGGAGAGTTTCCAAGCTGAGCCATGCTGGCTCAGGAATTCTGGGAGTTGAAGTCCAGGAGTCATAAAAGAGCCAAGGTTGCCTACCCCTGCACTAACCCTTCAGATTTCAGTAGAAAATGCACTTCAGATAGTTTCAGTTTTTCATGCTGTTTTCATTCCTCATGGATCCTATATATATATAGGATCCATGAGGATCCATGAGGAGTGACTCTTAGAAGCACGAAGCTGAAGACACCAGCCTTGAAAGAAAGTGAGTAGAGGGGAAATTAGTCCTATACAGGTAATCCTTGATTTATAACAGTTTCCCTTAGCAACAGAAATTTTGGGCACAATTGTGAGTTGAGGACTACCCGTACTGTAGATTTGCTGCCTGTTGCAGGTGTGTGCAGGTGTGTGCGTGTAACAAGGATACAAAATCCCAGCCCTCAATGTGGTTTGATCACCAGGAGATGCATCGTCTTCCCCAAATGAGGTCACCTCTTCATTTTGTAACTCTCTTAACTAAGGTGGGCCGATGTGAGTGAGCAAATACAGGCAGTCCTTGACTTACGACCACAACTGAGCCCAAAATTTATGTTGCTAAGTGAGACATTTGTTAAGTGAGTTTTGCCCCATTTTACGACTTTTCTTGCTACAGTTATTAAATAAATCACTGTCGTTGTGAAGCTAGTAACACGGTTGTTAAGTGATTCTGGCTTCCCCATGGACTTTTCTTGTCAGAAGGTCACAAAAGGCGAACACATGACCCCGGGACTCTGCAACCGTCATAAATATGAGTCAGTTGCCAAGCATCTGAATTTTGATCACGTGACTATGAGGATGCTGCAACAATTGTGTGAAAAACACTCATAGGTCACTTTTTCAAGTGCCGTTGTAACTTTGAATGGTCACTAAACAAACTGTTGTAAGTCGAGGACTGCCTGTATGGCCCACTGGTGACCGGATCAGGTCTCCAATGCAAATGAGTTTGGCTCTCAAAGGCAACAACCATTAATTGTAACTAAATGAAGCACAACTGTCATTGTTAACTAAATTACTTCTACAAACTGGATAACAAGTTTTGAATGTGATCTCAAGTTTTAAATGTAAGGCCAGCTGGAGGGAAATACAGATAGTCCTCGGTTTACGACCACAACTGAGCCCAAAATTTCTGTTGTTAAGGGACGCATTTGTTGAGTGAAATTTGCCCCAATTTTATGACCTTTCTTATGACCGTCTGGCAAGCAAAGTCAACGGGGAAGCTAGATTCACGGAACAACCGTGTAATTAGCAACAGCATTGATTCACTTAACAAGTGTGACAATTAAAGTTGCAAAGTGGGGCAAAACTCACTTAACGACTGTCTCTCTTAGTAACAGAAATTGGGTGCTCAGTTACGATGGTAAGTCGAGGGCTAGTTATTATTTAAAACAAAAAACAAAAACAAAATAGATCCATGCCACAGATTTAGCTTGTCTTTTTTATTATTATTATTATTTATCTATTCACACAGAAATACAAACTTCGTAATTCTCATACACCACTCCTGTTCAGGATTCAGCTTTCATCTTCACATTGGTTCTGGATTTCCAAAAAGTCCAAACACTCTTAAACAATCATTTCAGGAAGAATTAAACACAATCGCCATCACAAAGCAGAAAGCAAGAAGCTTCACATTTGGGGATCTACGGGGCACGCGGGCCTTGCCTCTTCCAGGACTCTTCCAACTTCATTTCAAGGGGAAAGTCGTACTCCATTCCTGTAGGGAAGAGATAGAAGAGTATAGTTCAGGGGTGTCAAACTCAATTTCATTGAGGGCCGCATCAGCATTGCGGTTGCCCTTGGGGGGCCGGGTGGGTGCGGCCTACTGGATGGGCGTGGATGGAGTGGGTGTGGCCTACTGGGTGGGCATGGCCAGCTCTACATCATTCGCGTCAAGGGGGCCTGTGGGGGCCTGGGCAGGAGTGGGACAGATCTGAGGGTCTCTGGCAGAAGGGGGTGGGACCAGGGCAGAGCCCATCAAGCCGGATATGTGAAGTAGGCGAGGGCCATTTGCTGGCCACTTCCAGGCGATGGTGCATTTCTTCATTCCTCACAAAGGGTGACACCTCCCCAGCATGCACCCAGGGGATGGGGCCGACGCGGCAGGGGCTGGTTCCTCACTGTTTCCGGACGGCCTTGTGGAGCTAAGACTGAATGCGTTTCAGCATAGATGGCCACCACAAAATTGTATATTGGCTCCCAGCCGGCCTGGGCCAGGGCCAAGGCAGCGGGGGCCGTTCCCTCACTGTTTCCAGGATGGCTTCGCGGGCCACATGAAACCACTTTGCGGGCTACATCCGACCCCCGGGCCTTGTGTTTGACATGTCTGGTATAGTTGTCTGACCTAAAAACTGGGCATCAACAAACTGCGTTGTCAATTCAGGTAGTCCTTGATTTATGATCACAGTTGAGCCCAAAATTTCTGTAGCTAAGTGAGACGGTTGTTAAGTGGATTTTGCTCCATTTTATGACCCTTTTTTGCCAAGTGAATCACTGCAGTTGTCCAGTCAGTCAACAAGGTTGTTAAGTGAATCTGGCTTCTCCCTTGACTTTGCTTGTCAGAAGGTCGCAAAACGTGACCACATGATCCTGGGACACTGTGACCGTCATAAGTATGAGTCACTTGCCAAGCGTCTGAATTTTGATCACATTGCAGAGGGATGCTGCAACGGTCATGCGAAAAAGGGTCCTAAGTCACTTTTTTCACCAATGTTGTAACTTCGAACAGTTCACTAAATGAACTGTTGTAAGTTGAGGATTGTTTGTCCCTGGGAATTGCAGGGCTATTGGCTAAGCCAGGGGTAGGCAACCTTGGTTCTTTTATGACTCGTGGACTTCAACTCCCAGAATTCCTGAGCCAGCCATGCTGAGGGGACAGGGAGAGGTTTCCAAGCTGAGCCATGCTGGCTCAGGAATTCTGGGAGTTGAAGTCCACGAGTCACAAAAGAGCCAAGGTTGCCTACCCGTGGGCTAAACTGAGAAGCTGAATAGATTTCCAACATCCATCTTTTCCAGAAAAATAAAAAATGCTGCATGGATGCCTCTAGCCCCAGACGTTAAGGACAACTTTAAAACTATTTTGATTTTACTTACACATTTTCCATCATATTCAATAAATTGTTCACCCATTTGGCTCTGGGATCAACGCAGACTTTGTGCTTGTTCTTTAGTGTGATTCTGTAAAGCAAGCAAATTTGGATGAGGTGCCGTTGTAACTTAACAGTCACTAAACGAATGAAGGCAAATATATGTGTCCCAAGATAATTTAAAAATAACAATAGAGTTGTACCGGACCTTGGAGGTCATCTAGTCCAACTCCCTGCTCAGGCAGGAAACCCTTTACCATTTCAGACAAATGATTGTCCAGTCTCTTCTTAAAAACTTCCAGTGTTGGAGCAGTCACAACTTCTGGAGACAGGTTGTTCCACTGGTTAATTGTTCTGTCAGGAAATTTCTCCTTAGTTCTAGGCTGCTTCTCTCTCCTTGGTTAGTTTCCATCCGTTGCTTCTTGTCCCGCCCTCAGGTGCTTTGGAGAATAGCTTGACTCCCTCTTCTTTGTGGCAGCCCCTGAGATATTGGAAGACTGCTATCATGTCCCCCCTCGTCCTTCTCTTCATTAAACTAGACATACCCAATTCCAGCAACTGTTCCTTATATGTTTTAGCCTCCAACCCCCTGATCATCCTTGTTGCTCTTCTCTGTACTCTTTCTAGAGTCTCAACATCTTTTTTACATCGTGGTGACCAAAACTGTGTTCCAAGTGTGGCCTTACCAAGGCTTTGTAAAATGGTATTAACACTTTACGTGATCTTGATTCTATCCCTATGTTGCAAGAACCAATCTGGATTCAGTCACTAAATGAACTGTTGTCAGCTGAGGACTACCTGTATCAGTGACATCAATCAAATTTGTTTCATGAGAGATTTTACTTTAAAAATCTCCTTTGATTTGAGCTCAGCTTCTGGTGGAACAATTGTTTACTTGTTCCTTCTTTGAGGATATTGTCTTCGTACTTCTCAGTCTGTTCTACTGCCTGGGACTTTTTGCTGGGCTGCCTACTAAGTACTAATCAGATCTGACCCAGGTTAGCCTTTACAAGATCAACCAACCTAAGCTATATCTGTTCATGGGCCGCATCGAGCTTATTTTCAAATAAAGCTTGCAAAATTAGCTCCTCCTCGTGGCAAAATTTCATCTGGTTCAACTGAGCTTAGTTGTCACTCATTTTGCTTGGGAAGAGCCAGTATGACTTAAAACAGCACTGCCTGGGGAATTCTGGGAGTTGATCCCCATATCTTCAAGTTGCCAAGGCTGAGAAACCCTGATTTACACAGAAGATAGACAAGGACTAGCTGTATGCTAGTCCAGGGCTTTTCAACCTTTTCACCCATTGTACCACTTTTAGAATATGGCAATATCCGAGTACCATCAGTCGCCTAGCAAGGTTTCAAAAACTTGACCCCCCAAAAAAAGGAAAAAAGTGATAAAGTACAGGTAGTCCTCGACTTACAACAGTTCGCTTAGTGACTGTTCGAAGTTACAATGGCACTGAAAAAAGTGCCCCCCAAGTTACAGCCGAGCAAGACACCTGCCTGCCCACCCGGCGGCGCTCTTCCTCCTGTCCGAGCTTTTCATTGTTGTGAGCATTTCTGTTGAGGATTGGCAGTGGGGGTGGGAGGTGTTTGGTTTTTATTCCCCCCCGTCTGCTGGGTGATTGCAGCAGGTTTTGGTCACTTCACATGACCCTGGGACACTGTGACCGTCATAAATATGAATCGGTTGCCAAGCATCTGAATGTAAATCACAAGACTCTGGAGATGCTGCAACATTCCAGCTGATTGGTGCTTCTTCAGGGCTCAGCAGAAGCACCAGGATCAGTGCTGCTTTCCAGCTGATTGGTGCTTCTTCTGGGCTCAGCAGAAGCACCAGGATCACCGCCGAGCTCCAGCTGGAGCCTGGCGCTGATCCTGGCGCTTCCACTGAGCCCTGACAGCCCCGAAGAAGTGCCGATCAGCTGGAAAGCAGCACTGATCCTAGCGCTTCCGCTGAGCCCTGACAGCCCTGCAGCCCCAGCCATCTCTCGCTCAGGCTTGTGCGGTGCTGCCACCGGTTCAGCTCATTCCCCTCCCCCGCTACCACTTTTCTAGGATGGTCGTGTACCACCTGCCAGGTGCCAATGTACCACAGGTGGTACCCGTACCACTGGTTGAAAAGCCCTGAGAAGACAGGGAGAAAAGACCCAGGATAAACTTCAGAATCTTTAAGTTTTGCATACTCAGTAAACTTACATGATTTCCATTTTTTTGCAGGCAATCCCAGCTGGAATGATCTCGACTCTTGCATATTTGGCGGGGCGAATGAAGTTGCTCGTTACTCTGGCACACTTGCAGCTTAAATTCAGCGGGTCGAAGATAGCTGTGTAATTCCAGAAAAGATTATAGTTATTCAATTTAGATGCCCAACCGAGCATTCAAAATGCTATTCAAATGTTTCAGGGCATGGGACAGAGAGGACTAGTAGAGAGATACTGAATTTTGCTCCCTGTTGCTGCTTTCAAACCACCTTCCTCAATGTCCCAAAGGTGCTTTTTCACGAGGCAACTTGTGAACTTCTTGGTTGTTGTTTTTTTGAAGACGTTTCACTTCTCATCCAAGAAACTTCTTCAGCTCTGACTGGATGGTGGGGAATGGAAGAATTTATATCCCTTGCAGACAGCTGGTCATTTGCCTTCTTTTAGAGCAGGGGTCTTCAAACCTGGCCCTTTTATGACTCGTGGACTTCAACTCCCAGAATTCCTGAGCCAGCCATGCTGAGGGGAAAGGGAGAGTTTCCAAGCTGAGCCATGCTGGCTCAGGAATTCTGGGAGTTGAAGTCCACAAGTCATAAAAGAGCCAAGGTTGCCTACCCCTGCACTAACCCTTCAGATTTCAGTAGAAAATGCACTTCATATAGTTTCGGTTTTTTATGCTGTTTTCATTCCTCATGGATCCTATTATTATTTTTTTGTCTTCCTTGAAAGAAAGTGAGTAGGGGGGAAATTAGTCCTATACAGGTAGTCCTTGATTTAAACAGTTTCCCTTAGCAACAGAAATTTGGGGCACGCTGGCTGAGGAATTCTGGGAGTTGAAGTCCACAAGTCATAAAAGGGCCAGGTTTGAAGACCCCTGTTTTAGAGAGTCGTAAAAGGAAATTGGGTAGAAGTTATTTTTTTAGTAATCACGTAGAGGAAGCTTGCTCTCTAGGGTCCACTTCACCTGCATTTCCTTCTTCTACAAAAGGTAGAAGATTTAAATCAGATCTCATTGGAGGTGCCAGTGGGCCTCCAGAAATCAATGACTAGAAGGGGTAATGAGAAATTCATCCATTTTCCAGTTTTTGCCATCAAGAAACCTAACTGAGATCTCTCAGGCACATTTTAACTTCTCAAGCCTATCCTGCAGAGGGATTGTCAGGGTAAGAGGCTGCTCTGAGCTTCCAAAGAAAGATGGAATGGGATCAGTAAGAAAGTTTTTTTCATTTACAAATCAGTTTAGATGTGACTCGTTCCAAGCATTCCACGTAGATTTACCAAGATGCATATACAATATATAAAATTCCGAACTGGTTTAAAATTCTAAAACCACTTACATACCAATGCTACTATCAGGATGAAGGGTTTATTTATTTTATTAAGCACATGGCAGAAATGCTCAAACAAAAAGCACATCACAATTGCGTTCTCAATGAGCAAAGATGAAACTAACTCTATTTGCAATCATCAAAGCTAGATGATTTACAGAGTCAATATATGATGGAGGGTGAAAGAGAAGGAAAGGAAGAGAAAAACTCAGGATGGTACTACTTACTTGCACCAGTGATGTGGCATGCAATCAGCAAAAGAGAAAGCATGAGGAAGACACGGTTACTCATTCTGGCTGTGGAAGAAGTCCTTTGCTGCAATCTGAAAGCTCAGCCAGATGGAGTTATGGTGCCCGGGCACCTTCAATTTATTTCCTAGTTCCCTCACCCCACGTCATCAACAAAGAACTATTTTGGGTAACATGCAAAATTGCGTCACACACAATTTCCCATAGATTTCCCTCAGAATTTGCAGAGCTGAGGTTTGCAATTTGATAACCAAAACCAATTCTTAATTTAGGAATTGGGGAAACGGTTCTGAAAGAATAAAGGAACTATTCTTAAATTAGAAGGGTAAATAATGACTGTTAAAAAGCATGGAATTGAAATTAAATATTACCTATACCAGGGGTAGGCAACCTCGGCTCTTTTATGACTCGTGGACTTCAACTCCCAGAAGTCCTGAGCCGGCATGGCTCAGCACGGAAACCTCTCCCTTTCCCCTCAGCATGGCTGGCTCAGGAATGCTGGGAGTTGAAGTCCACGAGTCATAAAAGAGCCAAGGTTGCCTACCCCTGACCTATACTATTGCAGGTAGTCCTCAACTTACAGCCATTCTTTTAGTGGCCATTCAAAGTTACAACGGCACTGAAAAAAGTGTCTTAGGACTGTTTTTCACACCTACGACCGTTGCGGCATCCTCCAGGATCTCGTGATTAAAATTCAGATGCTTGGCAACTGGTTCATATTTATGACGGTCGCAGTCTCTCGTAGCCAGGGGATCCCCTTTTTGTGAAGGATCCCCTTCTGACAAGCAAAGTCAATGGGGAAGCAGGATTCACTTAAGCAACCGTGATGCTAACTTAATAACTGCTCTGATTCACTTAAGAACTGTGGCAAGAAAGATGGGGCAAAACAGTCTTAACAACTTGTGTGACTGCAAGGTGCTGCAAAATTCACAGCAGATGTTGAGTGTCATACAATCAGCCAATTTTCCAGGTACTTGCCTGCTCAAATTTCTTCAGTGCACAGTTCAAAACGCTACATGTAGCATGGCAACTTTTGCTCATGGGGGCCTCTTATACAGGTAATCTTCGTTTTATGACCACAATTGAGCCAACATTTCCGTTGCTATGCGAGGCAGTTGCTGAGCGGGGTTTGCCCCATTTTACGACCTCTCTTGCCACTGCAGTTGTTAAGTTAGTGACATGGTTGTTAAGTGAATCTGGCTTCCCCTTTGGCTTTGTTTGTCAGAAGGTCGCAAAAGGTGGTCACGTGACCCTGGATACTGCAACCGTCATAAATATGAGTCAGTTGCCAGGTGTTGGAATTTTGATCACGTGACTTCGGGGATACTGTGATAGTCGTAAGTGGAAAAACAGTCCTAAGTCACTTTTTCCATTGCTGTTGTAACTTCGAACAGTCAGTAAACGAACTGTTGTAAGTCAGGGATTAGCTGTATAAAGCGGCAAAAACAGAATTACAATGGGAATGTGAAATGTAAAAGCGCATGGATGTGAGAAGCTCAGCGTAGTGAACAGTCAGATGAATCAGTTACACAGTGACATCAGCAAAATAGACTGGAATTGGACACTTTTACTCAGAAGATTACACTGATTTCTACTCAGAAAATAAAGGCCTCTAGTCAAAGAGGATTAGGCAAGGATTATGTTTGGGTCACTGCAATCAGTGGGTGACTTTGAGGACATCCTTTTAGTGTGATGATTTAAATAAGATTATCCGAGTTTATGCTTCAACCACTGGGGCAGAAGAAGAAGGAGGTTGACAAGTCAAATGGTCAAGTTCATCCTGAAATTGATAGTTCATGCTAAGGACACTACAGTACTCTGACAGCTGAAAATGCAAGTAGTTGAAACATGTTTGAATATTAGTAGCTCGGGTTGGTAGTTGGGCTGTTGGTTTGTTCTCCGAGCTTGGCGATTTGGGTGCAAACGTTTCGTCTCCATTCGAGGGGACGTCTTCAGTACGTTTTAGTGCAACCAAATGAACGCCACCATTTGCATCACACAGATGATACTTAACACCAAAGTTTATGGCCCAGCAACAACAACCAGCCAATCAAACAGCTCGAAACCAGACCATGACTCAGCAACAACATCCAGATAAGCAACATCCACACCAATTTGCATCACACAAAAAGGTATTTAAAGGCCAGTGCTCTGACAGACGAGCACAATTCAAAGTGCACTGAAGATCTCCCCCCCCTCCCTGAACGGAGACGAAACGTTTGCAAACAAATCTCCAAACTCGGAGTTCAAACCAACAGCCCATGCAAATAGTTTCCAATCTCAGGAGCGAGGAAGCTTGTCTGTAAGAGCATGATCAATTATCAATGATGGTCAAGGGTCTGGAGGCTAAATCACTTGACGAATGGCTGAGGGAAGTAGGTATCTTTAACCTAATGAAGAAAAAGCTTAGGGGTGACAGGATAACATCTTCCAAACTTGAAGGACTGTCGCAGAGAACACGGTGTCAATTGATTGTCCAAACCATCTGAGGGCAGGACTAGAAGCAATGGGTGGAATCCACCAGAAGGAGATCCAAGCCCAGAACTGAGGAGAAATTTCCTGCCCTTGAGAACAATTATTCCAGAGGTCCCCAACCTTTTGGGCACCAGGGATCAGTTCTGTGGAGAAAGATTTTTCCACGGACTGGAAAATGCATGTTTTTGTGTGCTGCCTATATCCCGCGGATGGGGCTTTGCTTGTTTGTGCGGCCCAGTTGCTGGCATGCCACAGCCCAGTACTGGTCCACGGACCGGGGGTTGGGGACCCCTGGACTAGAAAACCTCCACGGTCCCTTCCTGCTCTACGCTTCTATGAAGTTTCTTCAGCTTTGAAATAACGACGCGAAGGAAAATTCTCCTCACAAATCCCCATTGGTTTGATTTGAATTGAGATGAAATGGAAAGGCCCTTGTACCAGTAAACTCAGTTTACTGAGCAAGCATTTCTGTCTCTGTTTCCCCTTCTGTTGTTCTGTTTGCATAGGGGAGCCATTCTTATCTATTTGGCTTCAATAAGAGAGGCAGCCACCGACTTCCTCTTTGGATAAAAAGCTTGTGTAGGAAGGTCCCTCTTTTCATAAATGTTGTCTCTGAAGAGCATGACTCCTTTTCTGAAAGGGGATTTACAGCCACCGCCGAAGGAGGAAAAGATCAGCAGAAATTCGTTAACAGTAAAAACGTGGTGAGGGTACCAAAAAGGCAAATGTAGTGTCATAAGGTGACCTCTGGGGCAGATCATCAAGATCTGGAGAAAAATAGAACCCACCATGGAAGACCAGATGGAAAAACGGATGGAGCTGGCAGAGATGGCCAGATTACCTGCGTTCCTCAAAGAAAAGAATGCATCTAATTTTGTGTCCACTTGGAAAACGATTCTAGATTTTTGCACTCCAGACGGGGAAAAAAAATGAAATTCTGATTTGGGGATTTGCGGATTAGATAAGTTTGTTGCTGTAGAAATGGCTCGTATTTGCTACGTATGCAAAAGTGAAAAATTGAGGTTGTAATTTTATTAGCTTTGTTCTGAAAGAGTGATGTGGTGGCCTAGTGGGCTTGCCTCCCACTCAGAAGTTTGAAAGTTCGATCCTGCGACAGATGTTTCTCTCTCTGGGCGCAAAGAAAAAACATCTGCTGCAAACTCAGCGTAGGTGTTAGGAAGGGCATCCAGCCAGTAAACGCTCAGCTCCATTCAGTTCGCCCGGATTGTATCCCGAATTAAGGGATTACTATAGGGCCATAAAAAGGGAGTTTTATTCTACTGAGCTAAAAAGAGTAGAAAGTCAATGCTTCCCCCCCTTTTTTCCCCACTTAAAATTATACATTCAAGCAAGATTTAGAGAAAATACAGTTTATTCTCTGAACTAGATTGATTTTTTAAAAAACAATTACGTAGTATCTTCAGTGCTGGTTTATGTTTAAGTGAAATAGACATTTATCAATATCCTGCAGGGTATGAGTATGTCACTTCTAAGTCCTTAAACCAACAACCTCGTTCAGAAGCTCTAATTAATCACCCTTCCTTTCTGCATTTCCTAAAAAGCACTTCCTGAAGACCCCCACTGTGACACTGCCTTTAGTGTGTCTTCACTTTCTTCCATGTTCACATCTGGAAAATTGTTATAACTGCATCTCCACTTCTTCAATAGTTCTTTCCAGATTGTGTGTGTGTGTGTGTGTGTTCAGAGGATGGGGTGGTGGAATGCTTCAGATTTGATTCACGAATTGTGCCTCAGGACCATATGGAAATGTGAATAGAACAGGAATGCAGGCCCAGCAACTCATTAAAGTAACTACATCATTTTTCATGGTGGTGCATCTGCTGTGGGCAATCTGATATAGCACCTTTAATAAACCATACATACAATATAATATGCACATACACACACATATATACATATACATAAATACCTACACACACACATACACATGTATGCATATATATATACAGTAGTGGCCAAAATTGTGGAAACCTTTCAGGAAAAGTGTACAGTAGAAATGCCACCTTTGGTTAAGTTTCCACTCAATTTTTCTTCTAATTTCTTTATAACTGAAGCCTTGTTCACTTAATAATACTATTTTACATCGCTTTCTGGGCAACCAGTCAACTCTTTGCACCATTACTTTAATTTTATTACGTTTTACAAGCTCACTCAATGAAAGAACACAAAAAACCCAACCAACTTGATAGCGATCACACAATACACTGACAAATGTTCTCCTCTCAGCTTCAATACAGGACATCAATAATTGAACCCTACTGTGAACTGATTGGTCCATTGCCAAAGCAAGATGACACCCGATTGGCTCTCTAAACACTCATGCTCAATCAGATGAAGGAAAGCTACCTGATATCAACCTAAGCAAATTGTGCTTCCTTTTTCTGGTTATTGGCTATAACTTTCCATAGAATATAGTACAGATAATAGAACAAACTATGTTGCCTTACATTCTTGATTAAACTATCTTTCCATTGATATATAATTTTATGGTACTACTCCCCCAAAAATGGTGTTATTAGCCATCAAACCTAAAAAATACACTTTTCC